TAATGGTGCTGTGGTGTTTGTGTTGAGCTGCTCAGGTGGACTGGGGTTAGCCGTTTAGGCTGCTCTGTTTACGCAGCAGGGGCCACAAATGATGTGGTCCACTAGCGATGGGTCCTTAGTCCTGAGCAGACTCTGAGGTGACTCCACCCTCCGCAAGCATTGCACTCAACTCTGGCATACACAGCAGGTGTAAGTTTCTGGCCCTGGGTTTGACTCGATGCCAGCCCTGAGCAGAAGAATATGTAGCAAATGTAGCCCTATGGACGAAACTTCGCCGACCTAAACGTGGTTAGATCGCCGAAACAACAGTCCTTGGTTTGGTAAAACCCGAATCATTCCGGTACGTAGAACCGGCTGTCGTGGTAATGTCTGCCCTGAATTGTCCTATCCTCCGCCTGCTACTTTTTCGACTGCTCTCACATACATACGGGAATTTCCACCGCCGTTAGGTTTTTTCACATATAGCACATCTTAGCATGGTGGTTGAGGTTACCGCAATTATGGTATTTCACCCCTTCTGCTGGGCATTTGTATTAATGAAACGTTCCAAGTTTGGTACAAGGAACGGCCTGCGCTTTTGTTTGTTGTTGCTGCGTAACTGCGTAGTTACCATTTCTGTTACGGATAACTGCTATAAACTTTTCAGTAACTGCGAAGAACGTAGGTGACAAGGGACAACTAGCTATAATTGTAGCGAAAGTGAGTAACAGAGGCATGCCTTCTCTTTTCATCCAATTAAAAACGTACTAGGGCAAAAGAGAAGGAACGCCGCTGTTGCTCACTTTCGCTACAAGTATAACGAATTGTCCCTTCTTGTTATCTACGTTCTTTGGTGTCTGCATCCAATTCGGCTGATTTTTAAGTCTACTTCGCTGAATAGCGTCGCCATGATCGAGCAATCGTCGGCGTAAGAGACAATCGAGACTCCCTCTGGTGGTTGAGGGAGCTTTGAAATGTAAAAGTTAAACAGTAGCGGGGAAAGGACACCACCCTGAGGAACCCCCTGTTTGATTTTTTGCTGTTTACTCGTTTTGTCTCTAAACATTACCGACGAATGTCGACCGCTCAGATAATTTGCCGACCACCGTTTGAGCCTCTGTGGGAGAGAGGAGGCCTCTATATCTTCTAGTAGCGTGGAATGGCAGACGGTGTTAAACGCCTTTGACAAGTCCAACGCTACTAGAATCGTTCTCTCACAGGGACGGTTTCGGTTAAGGCCACGAGTTATCTGAGTGTTTATGGCGTTAAGTGCTGTTGTTGTGCTGTGCACTTTACGGAAACCATACTGACGCTTCGCCTGGGTCAAGTGGTTTGTGAAGTACGAGAGTAGCAAGGCCTCGAGTGTCTTCGCTACCGGGGAAAGGAGTGTTATCGGAGGATAAGAATCTCCTTTGTTGGCGGGTTTCCCCAGTTTGAGCAGTTGGACCATTCGCCCCACCTTCCAGATGTCTGGGATGATGAGAGTGGCCATAGACAAGTTGAGGACCTCAGTTAGGTACGCTACCCCCGCAGGACCCAAATTTTTCAGCATCAGCATGCATATTCCGTCGGGACCAATGGCTTTGGAGGCTTTCGCCTTCCCGATGGCCACCTGAACTTCACCGCAAGTGAAAGCAAGGGGGGCACAGGTTGTTGGCAGTTTGTGCAGCCTTCTGGTCACTCGACGCTTGGCTTTGTCCACCGGAGGATGCAGTATGAACTGCCGGCTAAAATAGCTCGCGCATCGCTCCGGGTCCGACGAAGCATGGTCGCCGAAGGAAATTTCGACTCTGTCGTCGTGCTTCGTCGGATTGGACAGCAACCTCACGGTTGACCAAAGCTTGCTCACACCAGAGGTGAAGTTACATGTCTTCAGATGCTCCTCCCACTTCTTCCGCTTATGTACGTTTACTAGTTGCCGAATCTCCGCGTTGAGATCCCTGATACGGGATGACTATGGGTAGATGGTCTGATGCTAGAGTCAGCATAGGTCGCCACGTTATGCTGTTTATCAGACCAGCGCTGACAATTGTGATGTCTGGCGAGCTACTACAGTTACCCATAATCCTGGTGGGTGCGTCGTCGTTCATTGTGCAGAATGTCGAATCGTCTATCTGCTCAGCCAAGTCTGTTCCCCTACGATCGTTTGACAGGCTTGAGTGCCAAAGATCGTGGTGCGCATTAAAGTCACCTACTACCATACGGTTTTCACCTCTGAGGAGCGCACCTATATCAGGGTGATATCCTGCCGGGCAGCAGGTGACAGGGGGTATGTAAATGTTAAATATTTCGAGCTCGACATCCCCTGACCGGATAGCGATGCCCTGACATTCTAGGGTGGTATCCCTGCGGTCGATGTCTGCTTCGATAAGACGATACTGCACGGTGTGGTGCGTGATGAACGCTAAGCCACCACCATTATCTCGCTCGCGATCTCGACGGTGCACGTTGTACCTGGCGCAATTCAACAAAGTTGAATTGCTGTGCAGCTTCGTCTCTTGGACCGCAGCTATTAATATACCATGCCGACACATGAAGACGGTTATCTCCTCAATCTTGCTCTGTAGCCCGTTACAGTTGAATTGGAGGAGCTTCATGTGGTTCGGGAGACGTGTCGTGATGTGGGGTGTGAGTCAGGTGTATGTTCTTGCCGCCGTTGGCTGTGTGTGCTGCTGAGGTGGTTGCCGCCCTATGGTGGTGGTGGGGGGCGTCGCAATTGACGTCTGCGACCGAGCAGCACAGCACGGGCCCTCGAAATTCCCCGTCCAATCTCGCGTGGTACGCAGACCTGAACATGCCCTAAAGTGGCACCAGTCAAGGCAGGTATTGCACTTGACTGATGTCACATTACGGAATATTCTGGTCTGACATACCGTGCAGATTGTAGGGGGAACCAGGAGTTGTTGGCGGCGGCGTGTGGGTGGTGGTGCGGTTGTGTGAGTTATGTGGTCTGTGGTGGCTGTGGTACGGTCTGTGGTGTTATTATGTTGTTGTGTAGTGGCGACTGTGTGTGGTTGCTGTGTGAGTGTGTGGGGCTGCACGGGCGGACTATCGTTTGCCGTGGAGGCTGCTCTGTTTGAGCAACAGGGGGCCACGTAGGACGTGGTCCACTGTCTGTGTGTCCGTAGTCCCGAGCAGACCCTGAGGTGACTCCACCCCTCGCAAGCATTGCACTTGACTGAGGTGGAGTTGTGGTGTAATCGTCTTCGGCATACACAGCAGGTGTATATTTCTGGCCCAGGGTTTGACTCGATGCCAGCCCTGAGTAGGAGAATGCGTAGTGAATGTTGCCCTATGGACGGACAACTTCTGAGATACTTCGCCGACCTAAACGGGGTTAGATCGCCGAAACAACAGCCCTTGGTCGGGTGAAACCCGAGTCATTCCGGTACGTAGAACCGGCTGTCGTGGGAATGCTGTCGGCTGTCGTCTCACTGGTTGGTGTAGACTGGCATCTGACACAAAAAGGTGAGCTTCATTACGTTCATTTGATATTGCATTAAGGATGCTGGGTCTGTCTGAGCAAATAAGGGTTTCCTTTTTGAGCTGTGCAGCAATTGATATTGCTTTCTTGATCGCTGTTAGTTATCAATATACCTTGCCTTCCCATGAAGACGGTTATCTCCTCGATCTTGCTTTGAAGTCCGTTGCAGTTAAATTGAAAGAGCTTCATGTAGTTCGGGAGACGTGTTGTTATGCGGGGTGTGAGGGATGTGTGTTGCCTTGCCGCCATTGGTTGTGTGCGCTGCTGTGGAGGATGCCACCCTGTGGTGGTAGTGGGTGGCGTGGCAATTGGGGTTTGCGATCGAGCGGCGCAAAACAGGCCCTCGAAGTTTCTCGTCCGATCTCGCGTGGCTCGCAGACCTGAGCAGGCCCTAAAGTGGCTCCAGTCAAGGCAGGTGTTGCACGATATTTCCTTGTCTGACATACCGTGCAGATTGTAGCAGGAACCAGGAGTGGGCGGAGTGTGGGGGTTGTGCGGTTGCGTCTGTTGTGTGGTATGCCGTGTTTGTAGTGTGGTCTATTATGTAATGGTGCTGTGGTGTTTGTGTTGAGCTGCTCAGGTGGACTGGGGTTAGCCGTGTAGGCTGCTCTGTTTGAGCAGCAGGGGCCACAAATGATGTGGTCCACTAGCGATGGGTCCTTAGTCCTGAGCAGACTCTGAGGTGACTCCACCCTCCGCAAGCATTGCACTTGACTGAGGTGGAGTTGTGGTGTAGTCAACTCTGGCATACACAGCAGGTGTAAGTTTCTGGCCGTGGGTTTGACTCGATGCCAGCCCTGAGCAGAAGAATATGTAGCAAATGTAGCCCTATGGACGAACAACTTCTGAGATACTTCGCCGACCTAAACGTGGTTAGATTGCCGAAACAACAGTCCTTGGTTTGGTAAAACCCGAATCATTCCGGTACGTAGAACCGGCTGTCGTGGTAATGTCTGCCCTGAATTGTCCTATCCTCCGCCTGCTACTTTTTATACTGCTCTCACATACATACGGGAATTTCCACCGCCGTTAGGTTTTTTCACATATAGCACATCTTAGCATGGTGGTTGAGGTTACCGCAATTATGGTACTTCACCCCTTCTGCTGGGCATTTGTATTAATGAAACGTTCCAAGTTTGGTACAAGGAACGGCCTGCACTTTTTTTTGTTGTGCTGCGTAACTGCGTAGTTACCTTTTCTGTTACGGATAACTGCTATAAACTTTTCAGTAACTGCGAAGAACGTAGATGACAAGGGACAACTAGCTATAATTGTAGCGAAAGTGAGTAACAGAGGCATGCCTTCTCTTTTCATCCAATTAAAAACGTACTAGGGCTGTTGCTCACTTTCGCTACAAGTATAACGAATTGTCCCTTCTTGTTATCTACGTTCTTTGGTGTCTGCATCCAATTCGGCTGATTTTTAAGTCTACTTCGCTGAGTAAGCGTTCTTTAACACTTATAAACTTCGGCAAAAGCCCGCACACAAAAATGTCTTATTATATCTTAAAGTTTTAAATTAGCATGATAGGCTAAGGTTCTTTAAAACAGTTACGAATTATTCAATTGTCTCTTCTTCAGCTTGCTTTCTGGAGAAGAACTGGTATCTCTCCACAATCACATTCACTTTAGGCACGAATTAGTCGTTACAACTTTTAAGGGGTTCATCGTAGCCAACCGTATGAATGTCATAGTTGAACAAGTTAAACACTAAGAGCGAATCAAGTCCTATGTGGTGCAGTAATAGTGCCACCTTTGGCTGGTCGGTCTGGTCCCGCTGCACGCATGAACGCATTTTTTCAGTTATTCCATGCTACTGACAAATTGGTTGCCTTTAAATCCAATGGGAAACTGTTGTAGCCATGCTGACGACTTTACTGCATTCTGCCGTTGTTTGCCTTTTCTCTGTGGGTATGATGAAAATATTTATTTATTTCTTTATTTGATTTTAATACATATACGTAAATCAAATTTTGATGAAAACTAAATTTTATGAAACATTTATTTCAGATCTTAATGAAAGGGATGACGAGTACAAATATGTGGGTCCCTATAACCCTAAAATAATGATCACTACATCACACACCCCTTCTGTAAAGCTAAAGATGTTTGTAAAGGAGTTGAGGCTGATCTTCCCCAATGCACAACGAATGAATAGAGGCAAACAGGATTTAAAACAATTAATGAGAGTATGCTGCTGCAACGACGTGACAGATGTTATAGTTGTTCACGAAAACCGAGGAATCCCTGATAACGTCGTTATTAGTCATTTGCCAAACGGTCCCACAGCATTTTTCAATATTTCAGATGTTGTCATGCGCCATGACGTTCCTTTTGTTAGCAATATGAGTGAACAAAATCCCCATTTGATTTTTCACAATTTCAAAACTAAAATAGGTGAACGAGTTACAACTATATTGAAACACCTCTTTCCCACTCCAAAACTGGATTCCAAACGGGTTATTACGTTTGGTAACCATGATGATCATATATCTTTTCGTCATCATCTATTTAAATATGAGAACAAAAACTTGGAGCTAGAAGAAGTAGGACCCAGGTTTACACTTAAATTGTACCAAATTAAATTAGGAAAATTAGATGAAATTCCTGCGTCTGACACAGAGTGGATATTAAAACCTTATATAAACACATTTATAAAAAATCGAGTTTTATCGCATGAAAATGGTTGGCCTATAAACGAAAGTTAACTGTATTTATTCATATCGCTAATTTACTTCAATACAGTCATAATAAAAAAATGCCAAAATTAGATACAGTATACAGAAATTACCGCTACCTTTTCTATGTTGTGTAAAAATTCACTTGCATCACGCTGCATCGTTTACTAGTATCTCACTAGAACAAAATATGTATCCATTTTTACTATGGGAGTAAGTACATCGACGGCTGAGTGGAAGATCGACCTATCTCGGCAGCCGGTTCAAAAACGCCCTATCTCACAAAACTTTCCCAGAACGCCATACTTCAGAATTTGGTTGAATAACGTCCTATCTCACTTGAAGTAAATGAGCGATATGTAATATATATGTAGTACACATAACATGTACTTATTATGTGCATCGTAAATAAAATCGCAAATTTTTTTTGAATATTTTTCTTTGTTTACTTTTAAATCGTGGAGGATGGTGCGCAGAAGTCCAGTGGGCAAAGCTTTTGACTGCCATTCACATGGGAGTGGCCAAAGTGATTCTTTTGTGTACGGTTCAAATCGCAGCTCACTACGTCCAAATATTTATTTCGACGTATCGTTTCAGTAGCGACCAAACAACCGTTTGGGAGCGAGTTAAAGTGAAAAGGCGTAAAACCTCGCATGCGCTGGGTTTTGGGTCCCGCCACGTTAAAACCCCGCCCAATGACAAAAAAACAACATGCCTCGGATGAGACCCCATTTTGACGACAGCGGCAAACGTATAAAGGTATGTTTTGAGGGTATGAACCCGGAACGTCCGGACCGTTAATGGGCAAGGTGCCCATGCCGAGTTGGTTGATGTCCTCGTAAGGATAAAAGCTGACATCGCCACCACTCAAGATGCCGATGGACGGAGCAAGTTAAGGGAAACGTGGAGCGTCTATTTACCACGGCAGCCGGTTCTACGTACCAGAATGACTCGGGTTTTGGCCGAAAAAAGTGCTGTTGTTTCGCCGATCTAACCCCGTTTTGGTCGGTGGAATTTCTCAGACGTTCGTTCATAGGGTTACATCACTTCGTACTCTTCTACTTAGGGCTGGCATCGAGTCAAACCCTGGGCCAGAAACTTAGGCCTCCTGCGTGTACCACAGACGACTACACCACAACTCCACCTCAGTCAAGTGAAATGCTTGCAATGGGTGGAGTCACTTCAGAGTCTGCTCAGGCCTACGGACTCATCGGCAGTGGGCCACATCATGTGTGCCATCTGCTGCTTAAGCAGAGCAGCCTCCACGTCACACTCCATTCTGCCTGAGTAGCTCAACATAAACACCACAGCACCACAACACAATAGAACACACCACAACCACGACAGTCCACACAATAGATAGTTCCTCCAACAATCTGCACGGTGTGCCAGACCAGGATATTCCATAATGAGTCAAGTGCAACGCCTGCCTTGGCTGGTAGTGCTACTTGAGGGGACGTTTAGGTCTGTGCACCCCGTGAGATTGGACGAGAAATTTCGCGAGCCGGTTTTGCGCTGAACTGTCGGCAAGTCCCAGAAACGTCGCCGCCCCCTACACCACAGGCACCCCACAGCAGCGCACACAACCAACGGCGGTCAGACAACACACATCTCTCACCCCTCACATAACAATAAGGCTCCCTAGGCACACGAAGCTCCTACAATTGAACTGTAGTGGACTACAGAGCAAGATGGAGGAGATGGGCCGGCATTGAATATTGATCGCTGCGGTCCAAGAGACGAAGTTGCACAGCAATTCAACATTGCTGAATTGTGCCGGATAGCATGTGCCCCGTCGAGATCGTGAGCGAGATAATGGTGGGTGGTGGCCTAGCGTTCATCACGCACCACACCGTGTAGTATCGTCTTATTGAAGAAGCCATCGACCGCACGGATACCTTTCCCAGAATGTCAGGGTATTGCTATCCGATCAAGCGATGTCGCTCGATTTATTTAAAGTTTATGTAGCCCCTGTCACCATCTGCCCGGCAGGATATCACCCTGAAATAGGTGCGCTCCTCAGAGGTGAAAACCGTATGGTAGTTGGCGACTTTAACGCGCACCACGATCTTTGACATTCAAGCCTGTCAAATGGTCGTAGGGGAACAGACTAGGCTGAGTAGATAGACGATTCGACGCCGCACCTACAGGATTATGGGCCGGTGCTGCAGCTCGCCAGACATAACAATCGTCAGCGCTGGTCTGACAAACAGCATATCATGGCGACCTATGCTGACCTTAGCATCATACCATCTGCCCATAGTCATCTTGATCGATAAACCTGCCAACTTTGATTCCGCGGAACACCAGACCTATATCAACTGTACTGTTCTAAAGCTGATTGGAAAGGCTTCGCGGAATTTACTGAAAGCACCTTAATTGCACTTCCTACACTAACCGACGTTCACGTAGGTGAGCGTAAGTTCCGCAGGGTTGTCACTGCTGCAGCTCGCTTCGTTCCAGCTGGATGTATAACGAACCCCTGTCCGAACTTTCCTGCTGAAGCGTCTGTTCTAGGCGATGAGCGTGACAGCCTTCCTCAGCCCGATCCCTTAAATCCCCGCATCAGGGGTCTCAATATGGAGGTTCGGCAACTTGTGAACGTACATAAGCGGAAAAAGCTGGAGAGTTGCAATTTCACCTCTGGTGACGCGACGACAGACTGAACATCTTTCGGTGACCACGCCTAGTCGGATCCGGAGCGATGCGGGAGCTATTTTAGCCGCCAGTTTACACTGCATCGTTTGGCGGACAAAACCAAACGTAGAGTGACCAGAAGGCTGCACAAACTGCGAACAATAAGTGTGCCTATTGTTTTCACTTGCGGTGGAGTTTAGGTAGCCATCTGGAAAGCGCAGGCCTCAAAAGCCGTGGGATCAGACGGAATATCCATGTTATGGTGAAAAATTTGGGTCCTGCGGTAGTAGACTATTTAGCCAAGGTTCTCAACCTGTCAAAGACCACTTTCGTCATTCTAGACATCTGGAAGATAGGGAGAGTGGTCTTACTGCTCCCATTCCCTGGAAGCGAAGACACCAGAGGTCTTGGTACTCCCATATTTGCGAATGCGATAATCACTCTGATAACACGTAGCGTAAACCGCAACCGCCCCTGTGAGCGAAATATTCTAGTAGCGTTGAATCTGCCAAAGGCTGGCAGACATAGGGGCCTCCAGAGGAGCCGCGCCAAGGCATGTCGGAAGGTATCTGTACGAACAGACGGATGAAGTCCAGAGGTTCATAAAGTAAGTCAAAGCCGACGGACGTGTTTTTGATCGCTCATCGAAAAGTGATAAAATACACATATTAATGAGAGTTTAAATTACGTACATATTGAGTACAAGGGTTTAATAACTTTGAATATTTTTGCGAAAGTGAAGTATACAAATAAACACTACTAAAATTATTAAAAAAAATATAGGCAACAAAACAAATATACGTACATACCAACGTTCGCTGTAATAAACAAATTAAATGTAGCGGTAAGTGGGAGAGTGACGGAGTGCGGAAGATGCCGAAAAGGCATCAGAGGAGAAACCGGTGTGAGTTGTGCTGGTGTGGGTGGGAGAGTGTACCACAAAACAATTGCGTGTGCACAAATAGACGACTGCACTACTGAGATATGCAAGCAAAAAGATGACATTGTTAGGAAGTTAAAGTTGCTAAAGCCACTCGAGCCATGTGGGCCCGCAGAAGACTTTTTGGTAGGAAATGGGGGTTGAGCTCAAGGCTGATTGAGTGGCAGAAGACAATGCCAAAAACTGCCTTAACAAGCTGCAAAGATTGCGGCTCTAGAGTCGCTCCTGGGATGGACTCCTCCATATTTTTATTCAGGAATCAGCAGCCACGAGGGAGCTGCAACTTCGACTATCTAACGACGGCTTCTTCGTAAAGAAGCCTCATGCAGGTATTCTTGGGAAGATACCAGCGTTGGATATATGCGGAATCTCTGATTCCATGACTAAGGAGGTCTGCTTTGGCAGAAAATTCTAAGTGATAATCTCCGATCGCGAAGATTGCGCAAATGGGCTCCCTGCCCTTGATCTCAGATATGTACACTGGTACACAGATGGATCAAGGATGGCGGACAGAGCGGGTGCAGGCATCTTTGGACCTAGCACCAAACTTACAATTCCCATGGGCAAATGGTCCACGGTGTTTCAGGCTGAAATAGTCGCAATCTTAAACTGCGCAAAATTAAACTTTGAAAAGGGTTTAAAGGGCGCTTTTTTAGTTATCTTTTCAGATAGCCAAGCTGCCATCCGGGCCCTTTCAAACAGGACTATTAAATCTAAGTTGGTTAGAGACTGCTTTAACACGCTACAATTTTTGGAGCAAAAACACGGTAACATTGTGCTGGGTACCAGGCCATTCTGGAATCGAAGGCAACGATATCGCTGATGAGTTGGCACGTGAAGGATCGCTTACTGCCTTTTCGGGACCTGAACCATTCTGTGGTCTTAGTTGGTCCTCTGCGAGAGCCATAATCACTGAGTGGGCACATTCAGAACGCAGTAAGTACTGGGGAGCGGTGGGGGACCTTAGACAGGCAGGCTATTCGGCTACCCCTTTAATAGGAACGACATCGTCCTACAAAACAGAACTGACATCAGGTTACTTTCTGGGTATCTGACTGGTCACAGCCAATTGCGGTTCCACTTACACCGAATAGGGGCGATCACAGAGCGGGAATACCGGCTCTGTCTCGAGGCCGATGAAACTTCGGAGCATATTCTCTATAACTGTCCGGCTTTAGCCAGACAAAGACTGATTTATTTTAAATCTTCGTTGGCCGAACCCTTTGTTATAAGGAATTCGTCTACCAAGGCCCTTTTACGATTCATAAGGGAAGCCGAAGGTATCTTGGCCACATTGGGTAAAGGACTCGTTTATAGAGATACAAAAGATCTTTTAGGTCGCGGTGTCTCTGTTCTATTACACCCAGTAAATTAACTAATTAACTAACTAACTGCGGAAGTTAAGAAAACTGCATGTCAGAATAAAGAAAACTCGCAACGTAGTGTGGGTGCATCGTATGCTAATGCAGTAAAAGGCGTACCTCCAATAAAAATTAAGCCGAAAAATAAGCAAACGGCTGAGAAAATTAGGGCGGCTCTTAATAAAATTGATGCCACTAATATGCAAATTCACAAAGTGTCTAAAAAGCAGAATGGGCGGTTGTAATGAACGCCAACAGTGTTTCTGAGAAAGAGAAAATTAAATCTGCTCTAGCTTATAACCATAATAAGGAACAATATGAGATCTCTGAACCTAAAATGAATAGGCCAAAAATACCGATAACCCGATATGAGCTACTGTTCGCCGCACAAAATATAAGTACTTTATTCTTCGGCGTATAGTGCACCCGGTAGCGTGCCAGAAATTTCACCATCTAATAATTTGTCTAGAGCGGACGGCAACGCTAAAACTGCATT